CGATCCTCAGTTGGGGGATTGCTACCTGCTTTCCATGTGACCTCCCCGGAGGGGTCCTCAGTTGTTGGGGGATCGTTACACGCTTTCCATGTGACCTTCCCGGTGGGTTGGGGGGTAACGGTGACCAGCTCGGGGACATGTAGGTTGAAGATGGTCTGCAGGTTTCAGGAACGGCATGCACATTGTTGGCAGTATCCAGTCCGGGAGAGGGGGGGGGAGTCAGGGATTGTGGGTGGACCGCCTCCTAAATGACTTGTCATCGTCTCCACCTACAGGATAAAGCCGGAAGACGCCATGGATTTCGGCATCTCCCTCCTCTTTTATGGTCTCTATTATGGGGTGCTCGGAAGGGACTTCGCCGAGATGTGCGCCGATTACATGGCATCCACAATAGGTGTAAGTATGGAGGGTTCTACCCATGACGCGGGTAATTACGGGGCGACTGACCCACTCCGGGAGGGGGGTGTTGCAGATATACTGTACATTGATTGGCTTTTCACAGACATGCATTAATGTCGTATGCCAGAACTTTCGGTGGGCATCATAGGCTCTGGCTTGGCCGGAGAGATGCAATTCCCTATGCGGCCCACTAGATGGCAGCAGTCTCCGTGTCCCCGCCTGCAGTGCGACCTTTGCACATTGCACCATGCGGGTGACACGAGAGCACGTTGTACTCTGCGTGCGTCCTGTCATGGATCTGCGCCTGACCCCGGGGGAAGCCGCGCCGCTTGCAGGAAAGTGAAACTGGAACACCATGTTGGCTGCGAGATCGTTTTATGACTCTGTGAAGGTTTTATATGTTTGGGGATCTGTCCTATGAATGGACTGAGCGGCCATCTTTACTCTCTCAGTTCTACAGCGCGTCCGGGATGCCCACCAAGCACCTCTCGGACAGCGTGTGCGCCGTGTGCGGCCAGCAGATCTTCGTGGACGTCAATGAAGAGGGAATCATCGAGAACACGTACAGGCTCTCCTGCAACCATGTGTATCCTTTCCTGTCCAACAGGCTCTGTGCTTTATAATGTATGAGCTGCTACCTGCCAATTGTGTCCATTCAGTCATGAGATTAACACAGCTCCGTCCTGCCTGGCAGGAGAGGGGACCCTTCTGTGCTGCAGTTTCACTTCCTGGCAAGAGGAGGAGCCACACACTGATTAACTCATCTCTCTGTCAGTCCGCTCCCTCCTCCTGTCAGAGTGCTCCTTACACTGCAGCTTATCTAATCTGCTCCTTATGCTTCTTCTCGCTTCCCCAGTCTGAGCCCTGCTGTAGGGGGGCTACAAGAAGTTGCTGCAAAGTTTAATGACGTGTTAATGATTACAGATCTGCATTGATTTGTATCTTTTTCTATCATCTCGCCCTCCCGATTATTTTCCTTAACCCGTTTCCTGTCCAGGTTCCACGAGTTCTGTATCCGGGGGTGGTGCATTGTGGGAAAGAAGCAGACGTGTCCGTACTGCAAGGAGAAGGTGGACCTGAAGAGAATGTTCAGCAACCCGTATCCTGCCGTATTGTTATCGCGTCCTCCTGTCCTGATCCGCCCTTTTAGTAATGGGAGCGGCGGGCTGTGAAATGAGAACTGTCTGTTG